AAAAGTGCAAATCGAACACGCCAGAGACACTCCTGAAGGCATCCCACATTAAAGAATGCGAGGGATCTCCAGTGGCCCTGCAACAGGGGACCCCCCACAGTCCGCGGGCCGGGCAATACTCGGCAGCCCGCCCGCGAAAGTTGGAGCACGCGCCGCGCGGCCTGGCCGGGCGGGCGGCGCAGACGGACCCCTGCAAGGCGGAAAAGGAAAAAGAAAAGGAGAGGAGGAGGAGGAGGAGGAGGAGGAGGAGGAGGAGGAGGAGGAGGAGGACAGGGAGGGTGGGCAGGGCGAACAGTATGTGACGGATGAGGATGCTGAGGGAAAAGGGCTTCGGGGTCAAAGGGGGCCCGCCGATGCGAGACCGAGCAGCTCTAAAATACAAGACGACACCCGTCGCGGGAAGGAGTGGCGAGGGGGCTTGAAGATTACAAGAAGAGGAGGGAGGAGAGTTGTGGATGAAGGCTGAAGCGGCGGCTCATGTTTGCATCTTCCGAGTTCTCATATTCACCGGCTCTCCTAGACAGTCCCCATTCTGCAACACTGCAGCTCTCATCCTCACCATCATGATCAAACTTCCTGCCCGAGCATTCACATCCACCGTCCTCCTCAACATTGCTCATCTGGAAACATGCATTGTCAGAGGCTCTCAGGTCCCTTTTACCCCCGAGCCAAAAACCCGACGGGACATATGTGAAGAGAAGGATAAATGGGGAGGCAGGGGGAAAATGAGGATGCTTCTGATGTTGGTGTCGGTACCGATGACGATGGTGATGATGATGATGATGATGATGATGATGATGATGATGATGATGATGATGATGATGATGATGATGATGATGATGGTGATGGTGATGATGATGACGATGATGATGATGATGATGATGGTGATGGTGATGGTGATGGTGATGGTGATGGTGGTGATGATGATGATGATGATGATGATGATGATGATGATGATGATGATGATGATGATGGTGATGACCCAGAAATTAATGGGACGACCTGGAGCAATCTTCGGACGGCGGATCGCTCGCGCTTGGGGTGACGTACGCTGCCGCCCCTTCTGGTTCCGGGCCGCAGCCCAGCCCTGCGCCTCCTCGGCGGCGATGGGCGCGATTCACTGCCGCTGAGGCTCCCGCCCTGGCCGCGCGGAGGGGCCTCCGCACGCTCGGCACCCTCGGCAGAGGGCCTGGCACCCGCGCTGCTCTCCTGTGGGCTGCGGTACGCTCGCCCAAACTGGAGCTGCCCAGCACTCCAATGGCGGCAGCGCCGCCTCTTCGCTGGCGGCCCTGTCGCGAAAGAGGCCTCGTCCTGGCGATGACTGTGGTGACACTGCTTCTGATGATGATGCTGGTACTGATGATGCGGAAGGCTGGTGACGAGTATGATGATGAATATGTTGGCGATGTCGATGCGGTTGATTAGTATGTTGACGATGATGGTAATGGTGATTACGATGAGGATGTTGACTATGATGGCGATGACTGCGAACATGGTTGTGATGGCGATGATAGAAACGATGGCGCTGCCACTGGTGAGGCAGAGGATGAGGATGATGATGCTGCTGATGATGATGGTAATGGTGTCTAAAACGATACTGGTGACGATGACGGCAATAATGAGGATGAAGATGAGGATGAAGATGAGGATGAGGACGTTGATGACGAAAACAATGCTGACGCAGTGGTGATATTGATGATACGGATTAGGATGAACGCGAATCGGATCCATGTAACGATGGTGTCCGTGATGCTAGTGGTTGTGCTTGGAATGGTGGCGATGATGTTGATGACGATGGCCACGGTGATGATAAAGAAGAGCATGCTGATGAAGATGATGCTGATGATGATGATGATGATGGTGGTGGTTGTGGTGTTGATGCTGATCGTGGTGGTGGTGACGATTACGATGGTGATACCGATGCCGACGATACATGTTGATATTGACGAGTGGGGATGATGGTATGACGATACGGATGCCGACAACAAGTTCGACGATGACGAGGGAGGCCAGGGCTGATGATCACGAGGTTGGGAGGAGACACTAACCATGATGACGATGGTGATCATGGCGATAATTATGCTGGGGATGTCGGCCATGATGACGATGATGATGATGATGATGATGATGATGATGATGATGATGAAGGTGAAGGTGATGGCGATGGTGATGGTGGTGGTGATGGTGATGGTGATGGTGATGGTAGGTGATGGTGATTATAGTGGTGATGGTGATGGTAATGATTGTGATGGTGATGGCGGTGATGATGCATTTGCTTGGGGTTGCGATGTCTACGATGATGATCTTGGAGATGCTGATGATGGTAATAATGATGATGCTGATAATGGTGATGATGATGATGATGATGTTAGTGCTGATGATGATGCCAATCACGAATACGATAACGTTGGCGACGCTGATGCCGACGACGATGATGATCGCGAAGATGCTGATTATGATGATGACGATCACCATCATCGTCATCATCATGTTCATTATGATGTCCGTGATGATGACGATGGTGTTGGTGCTGATGATGCTGATCGTGATGGCAGTGCCGATGGTGATGTCTATGAAAATCGTAAGCATGTGCGGATGCTGACGAAGACGAAGCAAACGATGAATATGTTACAAAGGATTTCGTTGGCCCTATGTTGATAATGGGGATGGTATTGTTGGCGATGATGATGTTGGTGATGAGTATGACGATGGTGATGACGATGAGGACGTCGCTGATGACGACGGTGATGACGCTGATGATGAAGATGCGTTGCTCGGGGCCGACGATGACGTTCATGGTGATTGCGGTGAGGATGCAAGCAACAATGATTGGGAGGATAACGACGATCACGATGACGATAGTGATGTTTAGGTTCAAGATTCTGATAGTAGGTATGGAATGTTGATAGTGATCGTGTTGGTGACGATTGCGATGATGATGGTGATGACGAGACGATGATGACGTTGCTGGCGATGAGCATGGTGATGACGACGGTGTGGAAGACTGTGATCATGGTGATGAATACATGAATGGTGATGATGGCGATGGCGGGGATCATGGCGATGATGATTATAATGATGATTGTGGTGGTGGTATTGATGTTGATGGCGATGATAATGATGACGATGATGATGACCATGTTGAAGATACCATGGTGTTGGCGATGTTGCTACTAATACTGATGATGAGCGTGGTGTTGATTATGACGATGATCGGAGGTTGGGGGGTGAGATCGCAGTGGAACGGAGGCCCCCAATGGGGAAATCGTTTTGTTTCGTTCGTGTCGTGCGTGCGTTTGAGGCGAAGCTGCGTGGACGCGCGAGAGGACTGAACCCGCCGTTGCTAGGGCGAAGTCGAGACAAATGATTCTCCCCCGCCC